GGGGAAATGCCTTGTGGTAAACATTTTAATTTATTATCTCTTTTAAGCCTCACAAAATCTGACAAAGGAAGTATTATTAATCAACTTTAAAGCAATGTAAACAGAATATCTTTCCCAAAGTCATGTTGCTGTTAAGTACCCTGGAGTCGATTCAGACTCATAGTGACCCTGTACAGGGTTTCCGAGGCTGTAAATCTTTATGGGAGCAGATAGCCTCATCTTTCTCCCGCGGAGCCACTGTAGTTTCGAACTGCTAACCTTGAGGTTGGCAGCCCGACCCGTAACCACTACGCTACCAGTCATAGAGTGCTTAAGCTAAAAAGCAAACTAGTTGCCCTTGAATCATTATCAAATCATGGCCAGCCTTTGTGCCAGAGTAGAACAGTGCTCCATAGGATTTGCAATGTCTGATATTTTTGGAAACAGTTTGCCAAGCCTTTCTTCAAAGAAGCGCCTGGGTGGACAGAAATCTCCAACCTTTCCATCAGAGTCTAGCACATCAATTTAGCCATTTATATACCACGAGTCCAAAAGTTCATTTTATTATTACTATTTTTAATATTAAAATTATCCCTTAACCAATATGTGCTGGCAATTATTTGTTCAGTCAACGATTGATTATACTCAGAAAAGGCCAACGACAAACATTAACAAGTGTGTAATTCCAGATTAATCTTTGCCATCTCAAGTTACTAATTAGCCTTCAGGCAAATATCAGGCAGATTATTAAGTGGGAGGAAACCTCCAAATCTATACCTTATTCCAAAGTAAATCTTGAGTGGTTAGTAAATTGCTTCGCAGCAAAAAACTCTCAACATTCCCAGAGACAAAGGTATTAATATCACTTCCTCTGGAGCCACCAAAAGCTAACCTCTAACATAATTCTTTACCTGGCCAGTGTGGGAAGAGAGCGAGAGGCAAGGAGAGTGATGGAGCGTAATGCTGCCCCCTTGCTGATCCCACTGCAGTGGAGAGTAACATACTAGGTTACAGAGTGTAGATATCAGCTGTGAGCATTGTCAGCGGCAGCACTCAGAGTGAAGTTGCACCTGCCAAGTTTTGAAACCGCTGTATTCTCACAGGCAGATTTGGATCCGGTGTCAGCAAGACACCAGCCGGCGGAGCCCAGGTGCGCGCCTCTCCAGGCACCCGGCGCCGACCACCAGCCCAGCCCCCCGATCCATCTGCCCGGCCCGAGGCCTGCCTCGAGGTCCCCGAGAGCAACGCTCGCCGGGCCCTCACCTCTTCGCTATGCGTGGACGGGCACTTCTTCCGCAGGCGGCCCCAGTTGAGCAGGTTTCCCGTCTGCAGGTGCAGGGTACGAGCCCGCGCCAGGAGCGCCCCAGCCGCACGACTGTCGGTGCCCATGGCAGCGGCCACTCGAAGGGCCGAAGCGGCGAGGAAACTGCGGGCGGGAGGAGAGGGTGGTCGCTGTGTAGGACTTGGTGCCCGAAGCGGAGCGCCGAGCGCGAGGCTACTGGTCCCGCGCGGGCGGAGCACGGCCTGCACTCCAACCGAGAGAGGCCCGGCGTTGGAAGCGGGGAGCTGCGGCCCGAGAGGATGGCACTGGTGGCTGTGACTCCTGGTACCAGTAGTCGCAAAAGAGTTAGCTCCAAACTGAGGGAACCGTTTCCTGGAAGGCAATGACTAAGCAGAAATCGCAGCGGAAAAAGTGCTTCGTAACCGTTACCCGCCCGCGGTGGGGCAGGGGCGGGGCGGCGGAGGAGATGCGGGACGCCGGCCCGCGGGTGACTGGCCCTCGGCCTGCAGCGGGCGTGGCGCCGGGTGGGCGGGCTAGAGCGCGCCGGACGCGCGGGGCGGGGCGGGAAGCCCGGCGCACAGCAGGACTCCCCCTGCCGGTCAGAGGACTAGGCGCCGGCCGACGCAACTTCCACCTACAGCCGTCAACTCGCGCTCGCGGTCTCGCCTCTCAGCCAATGGGCGGTCACGGCGATGTTTTTTTCTTACACTCCTCTTTAAAAAGACAGCGAAAGCGTCCGCCAAGGCTTTGAAATGTTAGCTGGTTTTAGTTTTCAACGCAGGTGTGAAAGCATAAACGCCCCCTTCCTTCTCCCTTGCACTGTTACCTTTTTAATTCACTTCCTTTCGCAAGGATTTTCCTCCAAGTTGATCGCTTTTCTTCATGGCCTTTAATCAAATGCCTATTGATTTTCACTATGTGCTGAACAATGTGTGAAGTCAAAGAGTAAGACTTAATTTTTACCTTTGAAGCTTAAGTTCTAGTTCCAGAGAGGAGACAAGCATATGAAAAGTTAATGAACTGCAAACCACAAGGTCGTTCCTTCAAACTCCTTAGACCCCTATCCGAGATTGCTATGAGTTGTAACTGATTGGACAGCACTTAGCAACATCATAGGGCAGGAGTGTAGCATAAGCACTGGGCTGCTAACTGAAAGGTGGTTCAAACTCACCAGCCACTCGTTGGAAATCATATGTTGCTGTTGATAAATGCCGTTGAGTCAGTTCTGACTCAGAGACTCTGTATAGGATTTCCGAAGAGCGGTTGGTGAGTTTGAACCGCTGACCTTGAGGTTCAAACCGACCTTACAATCAAGCGCATTAACCCATAGCAAGCGTCTCACCAGGGTTGCTATGAGTCGGAACTGAGTCCACCTTGTCAAAGTTACTTAATATTTGCATCCCAGTTTCTTTATCAGTAAAATGGGGACAATTAATAGTACCTTTCTCATGGTAGTGTTTGAGAATGGAATGAGTTCATGTCTATCTCTTAGAATAGTGCCTACCACGAAGTAAATTATCAAAAATGTTAAGTGCATGTGTGTGTGTGCCTGACGTAACTGTGAATACAAGAGAGCTTTAGAAGTTTGTGGGGAAATTCTACTATCTTTCCATTTTCCATGAACTCTTTGAAGCCCTTCAATACTATTGTAGGAGTGCTGGTGGCACTGTAGGATAAAAGCACTGTCCTGTTAACCACAAGGTCCACAGTTTAAACCATCAGGCTCGCCAAGGGAGAAAGATGGGGCTTTCTGCTCCAGTAAAGATTTACAGCCTTGGAAACCCTACAAGATCACTATGAGCACCTAACAACTACAGCAATGTATATTATTATTCTTATGCAACTTATTTTGAATTTAATCCTTATTAACAATTTTCCTGGTCAGTAAATAGATGTCCACTTTATCTGTATTAAAGCTACCTGGAGTGGCAGAGTAGGATAAGCACTGGACTGCTAACCACAAGGTCGGCATTTCAAACCCACCAGTTACTCCTCGGAAAGCCTGTATAGGATCGTTATGAATCGGAATCAACTTAGCAATAATAACAGTATTATATGAATAAACTATAATTTATTTGATAGTATATATTGATATTTATTTTCAGGGTTTGCTGTAATAAATAATGCAATTTGTTACTACTTGCTTCTGTATCCCTGAAGGAACTTTTCTCCCCAGCTAGATGCCTAAAGTAGAATTTCTATCCTGAAGCACATTCCCTACTTTAATAGCTACTGCCGAACCAGGTTACACTCAAACCTAAATTGCTTAAGAATATGCGTCTCTCCCACAATTGCCAGCGCGGAATACTATCATTCTTGTTAGTTTCAGTAAGTCTAATGAATGACAAGTGGTCTCTCATTTATTCCTTGTTGTTTTGTGATGTTATGATCAGACTCTATATAAATTTGCATTCTCTTAACATAAATATTATATCATAAACAGCTTTCCCATGTTTTTACATTAAATTGTTTTCTAATCTGTTAACACATACACACAAGAACATTGCTGATTCTCTTTACATTTTTTAACCTTAAAATATGTTTTACCAAGCCAGTTATCTTATGTCTGTTGTTTGTCAGTCTCAAATAACGTTTGGAGAAAAGCAAGCATTTGACAAGTGGTGATTTGTTGTTGTTTATAAGTGTCATCCAGTGTGTTCCAACTCATAGCGACCCTGTACAGGGTTTTCAAGGAGCAGCAGGTGGGTTTGAACCACCAACCTTGTGGTTAGCAATACAGTGCTTATCCTACAGTGCCATACCAGGACTCTAGGCAGTGATTTAGACGTGCTGAGAAGAAAAAAAAAATTCACAAACCATCTTTCTTCTGTGTTGGTTCCTGTTGCTGAAGCAATTGCAATGGCACATGTTCAATAACATCACATTCCTCTTCATGAAACACAGCTGATTGCTGTCCAGTTACTGGGTTGATGGTTTGCCAGTGGACTCAGATCACATGCTTCACAGTCAAAAGAATCCCATTGTAAGAAATAACTCTTGGGTGATCCATCTTCAGGATTAAGGGGAATCTTGGGGGTAGCAGGCTAGCATAACAAAAGAAGCTCCAAAGAGAAGAAGAAACTAGTTTGATCAATTAGAATTTTTAGAATAAGAATACACCCATCAAGGTAATAGAGGAAGTTCACAGGGAGGCAGGGAAACTAATTTAAAATGAAAATGCTCCCAGTAAGGATTAGTATATGGGGAAGATTATGAACTCCATAATACCCAGTAAAGGGGGAACTAGGTGGTGGTTGGTGGTTATGTGCCATGGAGTCAGTTCTGACTCATAAAGGGGGAACTAGAGGAGGGGCTTTTTCCAAGACAGGGAAATAAAACTGCTTGTCAGCTGGCCATGCCTCACATCTCCCCATGTCTGCAGGGTCTGATGCCCAATTTTACAAAATCAAATAAGCAGGCCTCTCTCACACAAAAATGAGTACGGATTGGATTTCTTGAGCATTTGTTGGTAAACACCCGTGATAACCCATCGGCGACCTCATATGAAATAAGGCGTTCCATCCCAGTTCTTTTTCCGGAATCCCATCAGGGTAAGGTCCAGGTCAGGGATTTATACTGATGCACTAGTGCCTAAGAGGGGCTGAGGCAGTGTCTGGGTTACCAACAGCGTTCCTCACACCATGTGACATTATTTGCCAGTGTACTAGTGATAGAGATCTTAACTTGGCATTCAGTTTCCAAATTCCTTCTGTTACAGTGCTTTTAGATTTGAGAGTGCCAAGGCGGCTCTTGTTCTGTGGTCGAAGAAACCAAGGCCACTTGGAGAAGTGAAGCAGAATTTCAGATTTTCTTAAGCCGGCTGGCTCAGAGGAGCTAGCTTCTCCAGATTCTGAGTCCCGAATGGAGGGCAACACGGGCTTATATGGGGTCAGAGTCGAGGAGTGGCTAGGGTGCTGACCTGTTTGAGGACAGGAGGGAAACCAGGGGGATTGGTCCTGTTTGGTGACCTGATTAACATTCTAGTTTGGGGACGATTGGTCCTATTCAGTAACCTCATTAGCATTCTAGGTTGTCTCTTGGGCGGGGAAGAGGCAGTTAAAGTTTCTACCTTTTCCTGTTCATGTCTAGTGTATCATCCCATACTACAGAGACTGAGAGGCTAAAAACTGTAATTCTCAGGATCCTTTGCAGTTCTAATTCTGAATACAAATGATGCCAACCCCATACACTAGCTTGAGATTTCAAAGGCAGGCACGCAGGGAAGGGCATCTTTCTGCATCTTTAGTTATAGAGTTTTCCTACAGCCATAGTCTGCTCACCTATTCCTACTTCACAGGTATAAAGGGGCAGTTCTGATTGCTTTCAGATCCCTGGGTTACTCTTAAACCCAGCAACTCCGATGGGAACTCCCTGAGTGCTCACTTTTCTTCTTGTGGTACCACCACTGCTCAAAACTCACTGCCACTGAGCCAATTCTTACTCATAGCAACCCCATAAGACAGAACAGACAGACTCTTTAGAGTTTCTGAGACTAAATCCTTACGGAAATAGACAGCCTCATCCTTCTCCCTTGGAGCAACTAGTAAGCTTGAATCATCCACCTTGCAGTTAACAGCCAAATGCTTAACTCACCACATCCCCAGGACTTCTTTCTTATGGTACAACTTCCCAGAAAGGATAATTGAGAAATGTCATTCCTGGAGGCCCAGCCCAGAGCTTGTTTGTCCGGTCTTCAAATAATTTTACAAGTGCCTAGTTCTTTGTATTAAATACCTTCTGCTTAAAATAAAGAAGTTTCTGTTTCCTGTAACTGAACCCTGGCTGATACCATTTCTGATCTTATAACCATATGGACTATTACATGGAAATGTGATATAAATTAATCTTTTTCTCATCTCTGATTTTAATATAGTTTAAAAATATACATTTTAAGTACATGTTCCCATATTTAGGCAAAATTGTTTGTAATTTTGTACACAAAATAACACCCATAATTCATATGTTTGTGTGCATAGGACACACATTTTTAAAATTTGTTTTTATGTTAAAATATAACAGCAGAGTTCTAATAGATTTAAAAAGGGAAAAAATGATAATCCAGATACACATTTGTAAGTATTATGTTATGTTTTGTTAAGTACCATTGAGTCGGGTTCCGACCCATAGTGACCCTGTATAGGGTTTCCAAGGAGCAGCTGGTGAACTTGAACTGCAGGTCTCCTGGTTCAAGTGGACTTTGCAATCCAGTGTGTTAACCAACAGCACTACACCAGGAGTATATGAGTATTATAATAATAGATAAATACATGGTAGTTATTATTATGAAGTGCAGTGGAGTCAATTATGACTCATAGTGGTCTTGCCTATGGTTTCCAAGGAGCAGCTGGTGGATTTGAACCACTGACTTCTGGGTAGCAGTCCAGTGCTACCATACAGTGCCACACCAGGACTCCAGTGACTGGTTAGGGAGGTAATTAGTGTTTGATGCATCAAATTAGTTGTTGAGATGATTTCTAAATTCCGGTGACATATGTTCAGGGTCAAATTTTGGCTCTTGTGGACTTG